TATCAAGACTTGAAGTTGAATTTTTGGTGGTCGGGAATGAAGAAAGAAATTGCTGAGTGTGTGTCAAAATGCTTACATTGCCAACAAGTCAAAGCCGAGCATCAACGACCCGCGGGATTACTCCAACCACTGCCAATACCGAAGTGGAAATGGGAACACATCACTATGGATTTCATTGTTAGACTACCTCGCTCCAATAGAGGTATGGATTCAATTTGGGTTATTGTTGACCGTTTGATGAAATTTGCTCATTTCTTACCTGTCAAAACAATATATAATACGGATAAGTTGGCTACAATTTACATTAATGAGATTGTTAGATTGCATGGGGTGCCTATGTCAATTATTTCTGATAGGGACTCGAAGTTCACATCAAGATTTTGGCAAAGTCTGCAAAAGGCATTGGAAACTGAACTGAGATTGAGCAGTGCTTATAATCCACAAACCGATGGCCAGTCAAAAAGAACAATCCAAACACTAGAGGACATGTTGCGTATGTATGTACTTGATTTTCAAGGAAATTAGGAAACTCATTTGCCTCTAACCAAATTTGCCTACAATAACAGTTTCCATTCAAGCATTAGTATGGCACCTTTCGAGGCATTATATGGCAGAAAATGTCAGTCTCCTATTTGTTGGGCTGAAGTTGGAGACAGGCCTTTACTTGGGCCTAAGAACATGCATGAAACAACAGAAAAAGTAAAGTTAATTCAACAGAGATGGAAAACCGCCCAAAGTCAACAGAAAAGTTATACGGATGTCCGAAGGCGAGATTGAGAATATGAAGTGGGTGATCATGTGTTTATTAAAGTGACACCAATGAAAAGGCAGACTCGCTTTGGAAAAAAGGGCAAGTTGGCACCGAGGTATGTTGGGTAGTATGAAATCATTGAAAGGGTTAATCTAGTGACATATCAGGTAGCACTTCCACCTGAAATGGAACATATGCATAACGTCTTTCATTTTTCGATGTTACGGGATTATCTTCGGGATCCTTTTCATGTTATTGAGCCTACCCATGTGGTATTGAGTGATGACTACACTTATAAAGAACGACCTATTCAAATTGTAAACCGGTGAATCAAGAATTGAGAAATAAAGAAATCCCGTTAGTGAAAGTGGATTGGCAAAATCATGGTGGTATTTATGCAACCTGGGAAAGAGAAGATGACATGAAGAAAAGATATCCGGACCTCTTCCCACTTGATCCTATATTTTTCTCGGAGAAAGGTAATGGCGTTTGGAGGACCAAATGTCCTAAGAGGTGAAGAATGTGACAATCACCTTCTTAGTCAAAATTAATTTAAATTAAATTTGAATTTAAATTAAATTGCATATGTTTATTGTTAATTAAGTGTTTATCTGATTAAGCGCTATTGATTGCCTTGAAAAATTATTGACTTGCTTGATTGAACAGATAGGTGAGAATAGAAATTAAACATGTCTGATTCGCTAATTTTAACAAGTTATAATTAAATAATTAATTAAGCAATTAGAGTCTAATTCACATTAGTATAATTAAATTAGTACAATTGAGATTATTATATGTAGATGATTAATTTTAATTTGTGTAGTTATGAATTTTATTTAATCTGATTAAATCCTCAATTTAAATCAAATAATTGATGAACTAAATAAAATAAATCCTACTCATCTACCTAATAGGTATTGAAAAGAGAGAGTGTGTCACGACCCGCTCCCCGTACCCAAGGGTTAAACATCGTGATAGCCAGTAACTGAGGTTACCTACGGCCAATTCATAAACAAATCAAATAACACGAGCGGAAGTAATATTTAATAAGGGTACCAAAATAATCATTGGATCTTCTATTTTTATTACAAAATATATTGACCAAAAATGCCGATATTTACATAGAAAAATATCATAAAAGTGCTGTGTGTGTCTATTCCGCAGCCCCGCATATAAGACTTTTCAAAAGCTATTTCTGAATTGTATTATTTCCTGAAAATTGGTAAACAACTATAAGCACATGGCAGAGAGAGAAATATTATACCAAGAGTATAAGGGACACGAAATAACCATGGATAATTGAGGCCTTATCCTTGGGTTCAAGAAAATGGATGTTTCATGAAATTGAGTTTCAAAAATGGAAGAATGGGTTTAATTTGATATTTAGAGCCTTATAAGAATTCAATTAAAAATTTGATTTAGGTTCATAAAATTAGATGTAGTCAAATTAAGCCTTAATTGAGAATTAATTAAATTCAATTGAAATTGAGTTAGGCTTAAGATTGTGGAAATAAATGTGAAAATTAATTATTTGGGCCTTGATTTGCTCGAAAATGGAATTGAAATTGCAAAATGTGCATATTTATGAGTTTCTGATTCAGTAATTTAAACATGACTGAATAATTATAATTTAATGTGTATGAGCCCAATTTAGGCTTAATTGTGTAATTAGTGAACTTAATAAGGATTGGTTTATGATTAGATTATTTATATTTAATTAGTTTGGTTAATACATAGCTAAACATATTTTAATTGGAGGTTAATAATCTAATTTATTCCTAATACTAGTCATCCATATTTAAAAGAAATGGAAGAAAAATAAATAGGAATAACCGAATGAAAAATTAGAATCAAATGAGAGAAACCAAAAGACAAACAAGTAGTCAAATTAAATAGATTGTAGAGTGTAATTGTAATTGTGTTGTGCTTGACTTTATTTGTTTAGGTCGGACGCCGAACCATTAGTACGTGTACCGAGGAGCCCACTGTGAGTAACAATGTTGTAAAGATATGTTCAAATTGTATTTATTTACTGAATGATAAATTATATTGTTTCTGAACGGTTACTTTCTATCAATTGAATGATGATCCTCTTTTGAATTGTATTCGTGGCATCCATAGCGTAGTGTTATCGTTATTGTTATTGACATTGCTATTGTTACAGAGATCTCTATCAGTTTCAAATCTTGGAACTAGTGTTATTGTTTGATGACCATCAATTGATTGTTCGATCTTTTAAGACCTAGTGTATTGTTGCTATTGGATCTACCAAGTATGACCTATAAGAACATGATTGATGGAATCGATTGAATTGAACGATTGATTGACAAATGATAATGATTGAAGTGTTTTAATTCTAATCGATTGTTTCAAAGACTGTAAATGACATTATTCTTAACCTCTTTACACATTTGTTATTCACTGAGTTTTAGCTCACAGTTTATTATATATATGTAGGTGGCCAGACACCGGATCAAAGCTAGAGGCATCGACCCGAACCCTTGTTTTGTCAAGCCAGCTATTGTCCCTCATCGTGAGGTTTCGAACTAGCATGTGTCAAGGCGTTTTTGGGTGGCTTGACTTCACCCTTTTGAGTTTGTTAAGTGAAAGAAATATTTTAAGACTAATGTTAATACTGTTCCAAATGATGGGATTGATTCCCTAACTTATGTTTTGTCTTGTATATATATGCTTATGGGCATAGATGGTTATAAATATGGCTATGTACATGAAAGTTTATCTCTATTTAGGTCATCACAGCTCATTGGATGATGTATGTTATTATTGTTTGGCTTTTGCCAGCCCCATTATATTGTGTTATTGTCAGTATGCTAAATAGGCCTTCGGTAATCACGAATTATTGGCCGATGACGACGCTAAACCTATAGGGGCAGGTTTGGGTCATGACACAAACACAGAGACAACAACTACTGGAAAGAAACTATTGCTAATCTTTTTTTAAACCCAAATCCACATTGTCAGTTTCTAACCCCAAAACCACATTTGTAATGCCCATAAACCCACTGTTACTGTGAGTTTGTATTTGGATATAAAAATTGGTGTATTTACTATTTTATTATATTTTTAAAAATTGGTGTGCTTACTATTTTTAAGAAAAGAATTTGAGTATTAAAGGGTGTGGAATTATTCTGATAATGGAAGGAATTCTTTGAGCTCAAGTGATATGACATAGACATGAATAGGAAGGTGGTAATATGTAGAAAGACATTGAATTGAAAGGGGTTTGGTTCTCATAAAAAGAAAAAAAAAATGAAGGGTTTTTTTTGGAATGGAATTCAGATCCTAAGTAATTCATCATGAGGTATTTGGGTGAAATATTGTACCAATGAAAAAAAACCATTCACAGGAAGATGGAGAGTTGCAACTTACAACATAGCCATTTGCAAAGGAGTAATGATACATACTTTTAATTTAAAAACTCTAAATAAAATTTTAGTGAGGTAAAAGAGAGAGTAAAAAGAGGAGCGTGAGTCTCACCTTTATATAGATACTCTCCACATATTGTATTAAAATTCTTAAATTAAATCTCTCAAACATTATTATTTACAAAGTGGAGTATATTGTTCAGTACTGTTCCCTCTTCAACTTCGCTGCAATAAAAAGCAACAATGATACAGGCACAGAAAGTTACTCACAGAAAGTTACATGCACAAAATACATCAATATCTGACAAGGTGCTTGGATCTATTATTATGTTCGCGTTAACTTTGTATGTGCGGATAAATTACGTTGGTGATTGATACTCTGACCAGACCAAGAAACTCTAGCCGACCAAAGAGGGCACTCACCTTGGAACAAGTTGAAGTCACGTCAGCTAGCTACCCAGCTGTAAAAGGTTCAAAAAATGAAATAATTTAACACCTCTGAAATCACGCCAAAAATATACTCAGCCAGTCAACCATGAATAAACAACCCCCAAACTACAAATTCAAATGCCTCAATTTTTTGATTTCCATACAACCCCCACATGAAGAGTAAGGCTAAGTTTGATATCTTTAAAATAAATTAAAAGTTAAAAAATCATTATCTTATTTAAGTTATATCACTAACTCATATTTTATAAAAAATCTAAAAATACACTTATTTAAAACATCCCTAACAATCCCTAAAGCATCAGATGACAATTTAAATAAATGAATTTCCATAATCCAAATCAAAGAGAAAGTATAAATCATTCCACAGGTCACAGCTCCATTTATTCGGGTTGCAAAAGGACATCAAAATTGCATTTCCAGTCAATAGCTAAACAAATGTTGAAAACAAAATTTTATGGTGGAACAGCAAGTTATGACAAAATTATCTAGTACAAACAAGCCATTTAGGCCTTAAATAATTCAACTAAACATAAGTCTACCAAAACTGTCTCCATAACACAAGTGAGGGCAAAACAAGAACAAAGAAACTGAAAATCCAGTGTATTCATCAAACCAAGACTTGAACTTCCCAACTAGCCGATTGCTCTTTACCTTTGTTTTCTCTCTCTCTCTCTCTCTCTCTCTTCTTTTTTTTCTTTTTTGTGTTCACAGTTTAGCATCATTCTTGCACATCTTCTTCAGCTTCTTCAGCAATGTCATTTTCAACTTTATCAGCACTGCATGTAAAAGAAAGAAATTAGTTTCATATAAAGCATTTAGCAGTCAAAACATCTCTCTGTTTTTTTTTTTCTGCTTCATTTCTGTTGAAGCAAATCAACCATCTAAAAATACGCAGATATATGACATACATCCAGTTAAGAATAAAAAATAAATAAAACCACAACCCAGACCCATTCCCTTTAACTCAGAAATTATTTTACTTATTAAAAAGTAATAAGTGATATTTGAAAACTAAAACAATTCCAATCACAAGATTAATAAAGCAAGTTTTCATTTTTTCATTCTATGACACCGCTTAACACCTTCAATTCAAAGTTAGGCCTACCATAACAGGGGAAAAAATGGCTCAAGCAGTATGATTGAATGAATTCAAATGGAAAAGTTCACATTCTCTAAACAAAAGCTTGAGAGAGGTCTGAAGGGCACAAGCATGTGGGAAAACACAATTTTTGAATTGCAATGGCCTTCGAAAGTCAACACCATTATAATAACATTACAGCAAAAATGGCATGTATTTTGCCTTGTTAACAAAGCATATACGAAAAGCACTACATGCAAGCAAATGAAGACAGAAGGGAGTTATGCAAGCAGAACACCACAAGCTCCATAAGAAGTGATAAACTGTATAAAGAACAAATAAAAGTAGCTACTTTTCTCCCACATTCCTACTCTCTATCAAACCAACACATAATCACATACACATAACCGAGAACAGAGAATAATCGAATGACATAGCTAGTCTAAAAATAGCAACTACGACAGGTGCCTTCACTAGGTAAGGAGAGGTAGCCACCCACACGGTGTATGCACTGTGCATTAAATACAAAATCCAAAGATGCCATACTTGGTAAAATCATGTGTATAGAAAGAAGCAATTATCCATAAAATAACACGAAAAGATTATGGAGGTCTAACAAAAATTTTCATGAATACAGCCAAAAGAACTAAGCAGCTGCCCTGTTCAATTTTGGGAAAGCAGCTGCTTCATGTAAAAAAGACAATTCAATATTCCATGTAGTCATAGTCTACAAAGAATCAATGACAAGACCAATAAACTAAATGACAAGACCAATAAACTAAACTTCCAAACATTTATGATTGACACTATTATATCAAAACCTAACAACTTATGTTGATAAACCCTTCAGATTACCAGTTCATAACAATCAATACGTTTTTCACTCATAAAAATTTCTGAAAATTAAACTTCTCATGCCAAAACGAGTTAATTAATTTCTGTACAGATAAAAACAATAACCATAAACAAAGTGATCCACTTAAAAGAAAAACAAATGACAACCCAAAACATCAATTAAATAAATGAGAAAGGAAATCTAATAACTCAAAAGGAGCAATTTAACTGTTTATGATAATTACATAAGATCATTTCAACAATTACCCAATTAACATTCACAGTCAACCAACAAGACAATGCATTATCCACAATTCATGATGCAAGAAAAATCAAGTTCAAAGCAACTAAATTTTTACAGTCCATGCTCTGCATCATAAAGCTGCTTATTTTACAAACCTTGGAGAACGATCATCAGCAGAGTCTGTCTTCCTCCAGCTCCTCTCAGTCCGTCCATCGGGAGTAATCGCCCTTAAATTTCCGCTCCCAAAACTACTCTTCCCAAACGAAGCCCCATCGTTCGCAGAAACCATCTCCTTAATTTTGACCGACTCGAGTTTCACATCAACTTCCTTCCAATCCTGCCCCTTTCCCTTCAAAACCTCCTCTCTGGGCCTTGCCTCACCAAATGGGTTAGAACCTTTTGGTTTCGCCTGTGTCACTGAACCATTTTGCTGACCATCACTCACAGGCAGCGTCCGTGGCTGCAAATTAAGCTTCGGCCTCCCAATCACACTTCCCTCCTCCCTCTTTTTACCCCAAGCTTCCGCATCTGCACCGCCATTTGTTGCAAAATCAAAGCCCCCCCGCCTCTCTCGGAGACTATCAAAAGCACCACCACCACCATTAGTACCGAACTTCCTCCCCTCCTCTTCCTTCTTCTTCACCCAATTCTCCGAATCTGCGCCGCCATTTGACTCGAAACCCACTCTTCTCTCCCTCTGATTCTCAAATCTCCGTCCTTCAGAAGGAACAAAGTTCTTATTCAAAACCCAACTATCAGATTCATCAGCTCTAGAATCAGACCCGAAAAACCCTCCTCTCTCCCCTCTCTCTCCTCTCTTCTCAAATCCATTACTAGAAACAGACCTCTTCGTAGACCCCCAATCATCGACCTCATCGGCACGAGAAGGCGCTAATTCTTTACTTGAATCCCTATTAAACCCTCCTCCTCCTTGTCGACGCGACTCATCCGAAACCCTAGAAGACCCCCACCTAGAATTCGAACCCTCCTCACCTCTATTCCTATCGTAACCGTACGATCTGAATCCGCCACCGAGCTTGGACCGGTCGAGCTCCTCGGCGGTTCTCTGGCGCGGACCGGTCGGCAACGACATGAGATCTTCGGCGGTGAGGCCTCTGGTTTGTGTGGTCTGAGCCGGTTTGGCGAACTCGGAGAGAGGTATGGCTTGGGGCTTCTTCTTCTTGGTCTTGGTGGCGGCCGCCGCAGCGAGTGAAGGGAACTCTGCTGCGTCTCCGCCGTTGGAATGGTGGGTTTTTTTGTTGCTTTCTTCGTTTTGGTGCTGATGAAGAAGTTCGGCTTCGTGTTCTTCGGAATCGAGTGCCCAAGCACCAGGCTTCGACCACGCACTAGTCACTGCTGCCGCCATAGTTTCTCTCTCTTCAAACTCACTCTCTCTCTCTGTCTGTATCGCTGTGTTTCTGTCTCTATATCTATCTCTGCGTGTATGTAAATGTAAATAGAGAGGTTGAGTTGCGTCTGTTGGAAGCGAAGAGATGGGTTTTATAAGAAGGTTCGTGTGGATCTTGATTGGACGGTGGAGATGATTTTCCTAATCTAATCCAAAGGCCCATGCAACGATTCATGCTATTTTGATTCTCTTATGGTTTTATTTTAAAATTTTTAAAACATTTTATCTCATTTCAAATTTTATTCGACAATTTTATTATTTTTAAAATTTGGTGAATTTGACACGTGCTTGTTTTTATTGTGTAAATAAAAATAAAAAGTGAAATGAAATAGTAAAATAAATTCACTGATAAATGGAGTTTCTCATTATATTTTAAAAGTTTATAGAACTAAATTAATAATTATTATGTTTTGATAGAAATTGTGTATTCTATTTTTAAGCACAATCTTCAGCTTAAAAAATTATCAATTTAATTTAAAATTTCATGGCCAAGGAATAACAAGAATTACATAAAATTAAATTAAATTAAATTATATTAAATTTATGAACACGCAAATGGAGGAAGATTTAAATCTATGATGCGGTAGAATTCATGCCACCTCATTTGTAGGGATTATGAGAGAAAAAATTGTGTAAATGTAATATTGATATTGTATACTACATGTACATTATCACTATCTGAGTTTATTGTTGAATTAAACTTAGTAATTTATTTTTTAGTAACGCACACATTACGTAACTTCATGCCTCATACATTTTATTTTGAGAAAATAACAAGTGAGGGGAAGTTCGGAAAAAAAAAAATTCAAATGAGAGGTTAGATTTATAAATTTTAATAATTAAAATGTTAATTTTTTTTCCATAAAACTGTAATTATTTTAGAAAATACTTTCTCATTTATTTTTTGTGTTTTATATGTGGGTGATTGATGTTAATACAATTTCTCCATAAGCTTAGGTAATTGTTTTTAGCAACTTTAAAAACATAAATTTTGTAATATATTGAAATAGTAAGATACTTATATTAAGAACACATGTACTAGTTTTGGCCAAAATTCTATTCAAAAATTTCCCTTCTATTTTTGCTTTCTTTTATCTTAGTTTTTAAGCTTCTTTTCTTTTTATTTTTTCCTTTAACATATTATTAACTTTTTTCAAGATGGATTTAGCATTTTTTTTTTTCAATTTTAGAATCATGTAAAACATGTTTTCCTTAATTCTTATAGACCTTGCTGTAAATGGGAATTTTGTATTGTAAGTATGAAATTTTTGTCATAAACATGGCATCTTTCCAAAAAGCCAACCTTTTTTTTCTAATATGTTTTTGTTTCCCAAATGGTACTTGTCATTTGGTAAGCTCTAATCAATGACATATAATATCATTTCAACAGTAATTGCAATATTATTTATTTATCGTTTTCCTAAATTAAAATTTTGTAATTCATTAAGTCATTATCAAGTTTCCGACGTAGTGCATGACATTAGTAGGCCGGTTAACAGTTTTTATGCTGCATGTTAGCTGAACTAATACAATATGGCTCCGTTTGGGAAGAAAAAAGTCAAGCTTTTTTGGTTAAAATAGCCACAAAAAACAAAATAAGTTATTTTAGTCACAAAAAATAAAACATCAAATCCAACCCATAATCATTACAATCCTCTCTCACAAAAAAAGTCAAAAAAGTCAAAAAGTCAAAAAGTTAAAAAGTCTTCCCAAACCAAGCTAAAATAGCCAAAAAGCCAAAAAATCAAAAAGCCAACCTACTTCCCAAACGGAGGCTATGTTAATTGTTGGCTTATTTTTTCTACAACGAAAAATATCATAAATGCGAGTGTGTCAGTAAGGATTGAAAAATCCTTACAGATTAAATTCAAGTCAATTATCAAACGATTGCGTTGGTTGTTCTTTTGGCTCAACAAAGAGAATTTTAAAATTGCCAAATATAAAGAAAAGAAAAATTAAAAGAAGGAGGGAAACGAAGAAAGATGACTGAGTAAACAATCAAAATAATAATTACTTACCTTTACTCCTATGCTTTAAAAAGAAAATGATGAAAATAAATGCTTCGAAAAGGAAATACGTAAAATATCTTTGATTTGAGTTTTGGATCCCTTTATAATGTAGCCATGAATGGCTATTTATAGGCAAATATTTGTAGAAAAAAACTATCTAAAACTAACCATCTCTCCCATATTCATCATTGTCTTGCCATGTGTCCTTCCACTCATCCACTTTGTCTTTCATGTTCTCCATGATCTCCATAACTTTCAAATGAATAAGAGAATGTCACGTGTCCTAATAATAATAATAATATTTTATGGTGCTAACATTACCCCTTACAATTCTTTAAGAATGAGTTTTCTCGAATTCTTTAAGAATTGTATAATTATAATGCCAAAATAGGCATTTGTTTGATAATTAATTAATTACCAATTTATATATATTCAACAAGTAGCACATATTTAGAACTTCTCTTATCTTATGGTATGCTTTGAAGCCTTGTAGAGTTTCGAAAGCAAGGAATCAAGCAAAATGACTGAACCAAAGTACCAACCTAATAATGCCAAGAACCTTCAAAGTAACCATAAAACCCTTCGAAGCAACAGAGAGGAACCAAATCCTCACAATCATCCAAACAACCTTTGAAGCAAAATGACTGAACCAAAGGACCAAACTAATGATGCCAAAAACCTTCGAAGTAACCATAAAACACCTTTGAATACCTTGAAGTTGTTGGTGATGAAGCAAAAATCTCTTCGTACTAATAGTAACGGCAATAGTGACACACTACTTTGAATCAACTCCAAGTGTATATGAATACACACCACATATAATGAGCCCACATAATATTTTCAGAGATATTTTTGCTAAACCAATAATCGGTTTTTTTTTTTTTTTTTTAAATCTTCGCAGGTATTTTTGTCAAACCAAAAGTTAGTTTTGATTTACATGGTTCCCTCAATTTTGAGGTACATCCATGCGACAAATTCAGTTTCACTATTACTAGTTTGGTTAAACGGATTACGAAGAAACATAAAAGTCTCACGAACATTTTTAGGTGAATTTGAACTAATCATAACAATAAGATGAATAGATCTCACCAAATATCTGAACAAACCATCTTCGAAACAAAGCTGAAGAAGACATCCAATTAATGAATAAAACCAATGATATAAAGAGTCTTCGAAGCAAACAATGGTTGATGAACAGAACCTTCGAAGTAGCACAACTGGTGGTTACATAACTTGGATGTGCAACTGAAATGGCTAATTGTATTCTCTGCTATCACCATACATGATGCATATATTACCTTAAGACTTAACAAAATCCAACACTTAGACTTGTTGGAAATGGTTATAAAATTCTGGATAAAACCAGAATTTTTTCCTAAGTTTGCTCTATTTTTTAGGTAGGCCCCGTGCGTCGATATTCACGGGTCAAAGTAGTAACGCGTTCTATGCTGCGTTGTGATTCACGTTGTATATTTGGTTGCTCAAAACCATTACCGAGTGAATGGGAAATTGAAGCCAAAGTGTGCTCCATGGAAATAGAGTTTTGGTAGAAATTCCTTAAGGTTGTAAAATGGCTTGTCCCACATTGATTTGATGGAAAGTTTTGAATCGGTTTATAAGGCTTGGGTTTGGTACTTAGGGTGTGCCCCAAAGGGTACCCAAGTGTTTTAAAGGGAGAGGTTATGGGCAAAATGGGCTAGACCCATTGGAACCAAAAATCATCACACGCGCGCCGCCGCTGTCCGTCCGGGCGGGCTGGGCTGGGCTGGGCTGGGTCTGGGCACATGATGTAAAGTTGGGTTGGGCTTGTTCGGCCCAATACTAATCTTTTTGGACCAAAAGTATTTGAATTTAATTTTATTTTGTATAAAATAAAATCCAAAATTTAAATTAAACTGGTTTGATTTTACTGTACATCCAAATAGGGCCCTTCCCGAAAAAAATTAGTCTGCTTTTTAACGTACATCCAAACAGGGCCCTTCCCGTTTTTGTATCTGTTTAAATTATGAGCTCAACAGATTCAAATCTGTTTGAATTCAAAACCAACAGGTTTCATACCTGTTCAATTCAAAACCAATAGCCACCTTTACATCTATAAATAGACTATCCTCCCATTTAGATTTTACTTTAATTTTCATACTCCATCCTCTGCTATAAATCTCTTCATTTTGCTGCATTTAATTTCTGAAAGAAATAGTGTAAACACTTAGGGTCCGTTTAGCAAGCAAGGTTGGTTAGTCTGCTTTTTAACGTACATCCAAACAGGGCCCTTCCCGTTTTTGTATCTGTTTAAATTATGAGCTCAACAGATTCAAATCTGTTTGAATTCAAAACCAACAGGTTTCATACCTGTTCAATTCAAAACCAATAGCCACCTTTACATCTATAAATAGACTATCCTCCCATTTAGATTTTACTTTAATTTTCGTACTCCATCCTCTGCTATAAATCTCTTCATTTTGCTGCATTTAATTTCTGAAAGAAAGAATGTAAACACTTAGGGTCTGTTTGGCAAGCAAGGTTGGGGCTACAATAGCTACAAAAGACAAAATAGGCTATTTTAGCCACAACAAACAAAACATCACATCTAACCCATAATCATTACACTCTTCTCTCACAAAAAAAGTCAAAAAAGCCAAAAAGTCAAAAAACTCTTCCCAAACCAAGCTTTTTAGCCCAGACTAAAATAGCCAAAAAAGTCAAAAAGTCAAAAAGCCAACCCACTTCCCAAACGGAGGCTTAGTGTGTTCGTAAGGCAAACAATTTGTAGTGCTGCTATTGTTTGTAGTAGATCATTTTATCTTAGGAGATAGACGTCCAAATTCTGAAAGTACCGTGGAGAGGACGAATTTGTCTTAAGAACACAGTGTCAAACACTGGACTTGATCAGATTATAATTCGAACAAATTAAATCAAGTAAGTTATTTAATTTATTTTTAGTGTTATTGTTATTTATTTAAATCAGATTTTAATTTTGTTTTTGTAACAAAATAAAATCTGTTTTTATTTATTTATTTTTATTTCGAGTTTGATTTTTGTAATCAAATAAATTCTCCCCTTTCCTTTATTTCTTTTATATTTTGTTTGTTGTTTAGTACACAAACTGAATTAATTAATTACAGTGAAAATTGTCCACCACTAGGTACAAGGCAAAGGGCAGTTTTCTTGTGCATTGTTACACCGGGTATGACCTCGGTGTCTAAATCTTCCTTCTTCATCCCAACAGGTAATTCCCAATCAAATGCACAACGAAGATTGGCAAGTGTAAGTTCCACTTGAACAGCACCCATGTAGAGCCCTGGACAACCTCTTCGACCAGCACCAAAGGGAACAAGCTCAAAATCTTGACCTTTGAAGTCAATTGTGCTTCCTATAAATCTCTCAGGTAAGAACTCTTGTGGGTTGTCCCAAGCTTCAGGGTCCCTTCCAATGGCCCATGCATTCACATAGACTAAGGTTTTGGGTGGAATTTCATACCCATCTATCTTACATGTTTGAGTTGTTTCTCGTGGCACTAGTAGTGGAACTGCAGGGTGCAATCTCATTGTTTCTTTTACTACTGCCTTGAGGTATGGAAGGTTTTGAAGATCATCTTCATCTACACTGCCTTTTTCTCCAACCAAATTTCTCATGGGAGAATTTGTTTCTGGAGTAAAATATTAATTTACAAACAAATTTCATTTTTATTACAAAGAAACATTTGTGGCAAGTTTAGTTTTTTTATTGGTTTTTTGAATCATTTTTAAATTTCTGTGTGTGGATCTGTAGTCGTGAATAGCTTTTGCATATGAATCGGAATAATATATATATATATACATATATGTTCACAAGGACTTTTGCTTGCATATTTAAATGAAGGTATGTTTTGTTATTTTGGAGTTTAAAATTCAAAACGCATTGAATTTTATTTATGAGTTGAAAATCTTTTTATTTCATTATGCAAATTTTGGGATCATGCATGATTAATAATTATTTTACTTGCGTAGTAGAATTTGTTCAACCATGAACCATTTTATTAATATGGGGTGTATCTCTTGCATTAGTTGAGATAATTTAATTTTCTTCTGTCATAAATATTTTTATGACAGTGACATTTATTTGTTATTGAGTTGCAAGAATGTACACAATCAAATGGGTTTTTGAATTGTTTGATTCTTTGGCAAAATTTTTTATGAGGATATGATTTTGTCAAAACATTAATTCTGACTTGAGTAGTCATAATTATTTTGGTTTTTTTTTTAATTTGTTTTGAAATTCATTGATTTATATTAGAAGTAATAGGGGTGGTGAATATGATGCACCATTAAATGAATTTTGTGCACAACATGGCATTATTCATCAAACTATAGCCCCTTATTCTCCACAGCAAAATGGAATTGCTGAAAGGAAGAATAGAACCCTAAAAGAAATAATGAATGTCATGTTACTAAGTTCAGGCTTACCACAGAACTTGTGGGGGGAAGCAATATTGTCTGCTAATTATGTTCTTAATAGAATACCCCACATGAAAACCAAAAGCATTCCTTATGAATTGTGGAAAGGTCGACCACCTTCCTACAAATACTTAAAAGTGTGGGGGTGTTTGGCAAAAGTTGAAGTTCCTATTCCTAAAAAGACTAATATTGGACCAAAAACAATAGATTGTGTGTTTATTGGTTATGTTCAGAATAGTAGTGCATATCGGTTTCTGACTTATAAAATCAGAAATACCTGATATAAAAATGAACACTATTATAGAGTCAAGAAATACTGTATTTTTTGAACATGTCTTTCTTTACAAGAAAGGATAAGAATTAAGTTCACAGAAAAGAACTTATGATTGTACACAAAGTCAAGAGACTAATGACAATCAAACACAAGAGACTAGTAATAGTCTCGACCAACAGGATTTAACTAATGATGAACCAAGACGAAGTAAAAGAGCGAGAACATCAAAATCCTTTGGTCCAGATTTTCTGACATACTTGTTAGAAAATGAAATGCATATCCGTCAGATGTTTTAGTAATTTTCATTCCTAATATAACATCTGCGACCCCCATATCTTTCATATCAAATCTTTTGTTAATTGAACCTCAAAGCTTTAAGGCAGCAATGACAGGTCCTGAAGCACCTTTGTGGAAAGAGGCTATTAATAATGAAATTGAATCCATTATGCAAAATCATACTTGGGAATTGGTGGATCTTCCACCAAGTTCTAAACCTCTTGGATATAAATGGATATTCAAGAGAAAATGAAAACAGTGGTTCAATTGACAAGTATAAAGCAAGACTTGTAGTTAAAGGTTACAGACAAAAGGAAGGTCTGGACTATTTTGACACATATTCTCCTGTGACAAGAATAACATCCATTCGCATGCTTATTTCTATAGCAGCGTTGTTTAAATTAGAAATACATCAAATGGATGTTAGACAGCTTTCTTAAACAGTGATCTAAATGAAGAGATCTATATGGAGCACCCGAAGGGTTTGTAGAATCAGGGCAAGAAAAAGAAAGTTTGTCGACTTGTAAAATCCCTTTATGGATTAAAACAAGCACCTAAGCAATGGCATGAAGAATTTGATCATGCAATGCTTACTAATGGGTTTAAAGATAAACGAATGTGACAAATGCGTCTATGTTAAAAACACTGACCAAGGATATGTCGTAGTTTGTTCTTATGTGGATGACATGCTTATCATTGGAAGCAGTCAAAACATAATCAAATCAACTATGCAGATGCTTAACAAAAGATTTGATATGAAAGATATGCGGGTCGCAGATGTTATATTAGGAATGAAAATTACTAAAACATCTGACGGATATGCATTATCTCAATCACATTAGATTGAGAAAATGCTTGGTAAATTTATCAAGGAATATGAATTTAGCTAGAACACCTGTAGACGTCAATCTTTATTTATCAAAAAATAAGGTGATGCAGTGTCTCAGTTAAAATACTCCCAAATTATTGGAAGCCTAATGTACCTAATGAATTGTACTCGTCCTGATATAACTTATGCTATCAGTAAATTGAGTAGGTACACTAGTAACCCGGAGAAGACCATTGGAAAGCGATCATTCGGGTTCTTAGATATCTAAGATTCATCCATGATAATGGTTTAAACTTTACTCGATATCAGCAGTACTTGAAGATTATTGTGATGCAAATTGGATATCGGATACTAAAGATTCAAAATCCACAAGTGGATATGTTTTTACTCTAGGCGACGCTGCTGTTTCTTGGAAATCCACGAAACAAACATGCATCGCACGATCCACAATAGAATCCGAGTTCATTGCTTTGGACAAAGCAGGAGGAAACAGAATGGCTTCGTCACTTCTTAGAAGACATTCCAATGTGGTCAAAACCTGTGCCAGCTATTTGCATTCATTGTAATAGTCAATCTGCAATAAGCAGGACACAGAATCATATGTATAACAATAAGTCATGACATATTCGTCGTCGACATAATACCGTAAGGCAATTGTTGTCAAACGGAATAATCTCAATAGATTATATAAAATCTAAAGAGAATATTGTGGATCTGTTAATAAAAGGTTTGACAAAAGAGCTAGTGTATAGTTCATCGAAGGGGATGGGATTAAAGCCTATTACATAAAAGTCGTCATAATGGTAACCTTACTTATATGACTGGAGATCCCAAAAACTAAGTTCAAAGGAACAACTAAGTTATGTATGGCTCGCCAGAAATCACCAAGGGATTAAAAACTCCTAGCCATTCCTATGGTGAGAGTGATATCTGCAACATATGTTGTATGCAGGGGTATAAGGATAAGCTTTGGCTTTAATGATTACTTATATCTTGATTGAGGCATAAATAAAGACGGATAAGGAGATACTCACAATAAGAATCACCTATATGAGGTTGTTAACTGGGGTCGGTTCTATGAGAATGAAGAGGTTAAATTCTCTAGAAACACTTATGAAAACCAGGCGCGTTCAAGGCCAAAATGAACACAACAGTGAGAACCACGATGTGTTAGAAGATATTTTGTGTGAAATCTATTGTCTTGGCTTACATAAACGGCTGAACAATTCAAGGCATCGCGTCCATTGGTTAGCCAGTAAGTCCGATAGGTTATCGCTAGGGAAGGTTCAAGGCCGAAAGTTTCCTATCCTGATGCAAGATATTTTCAACTTATACCCTTTCGATAGTTGCTATATTATGGCATTTCCGTTGTCATCAAATTCCATTCATTGTGGGGATTGTTGGAAATGGTTATAAACTTCTAGATAAAATCAGAATTTTTTTCTAAGTTTGGTCTATTTTTTAGGTGGGCCTCGTGCATCGATTTTCACGGGTCAAAGTGAATTAATCGCGAC